GAACTCATCCGGTATTTTCTCTACAGTTCCGATGGAGAAGAGACAATGAACCTCTTGTTTTAGCAAGTTCTCATGAGAAGGGGCCCCGAAGAGACACGTGGTAGGTATGGTGGTTGGAGGCAGAGAAAGGAAAGGGATGGTGTAGCCAGATGACTATCTTCAGAACCCAGCCATCGGACTTGATGGTGGATCATTGATAGTAAAATGGTCACAGATGGTGGTGAAATATGGGTGAGGCATGACCACTTGGATTGACAATGGCAGGTGTTTGCAAGCCCAACTGAGAAGTCAAATCTGTTTGATTGGGGGTTCGGCTGGTCTGATTGTGCCTTCTTTGGGGTCTCTGCCTTGTTCATGGCTAGTCAAAACCATGTTGCTGTTGTCTGTTGTATGTTGTATGAATAGTTGTGGCACCTCTGATAAGGCATGTAACGCCTGCATCTGTATGGAGGCATATACATACCGAGAGTACGGAGAGTGGTGCATGCATCTTTGCTCTAATGTAGGACTCCATCTGTTTTCTCGGCAAAGAGCTTCTGTTTGTCAAACAGGAGGTCCTTGACCTTATTTAGTAGTTCTCTTGGGACTCCAGCCATTTGTAACCAGCAAGCCCTCCTCATCACAATTGCGGTAGCCGTCAAACGGGCGGCTGTTCCCGCGACATATAGCGCAATCTGGAGACCTGTCCTGGTGGAGGCATAGCCTTCCTGGACAATGGATTTTAGGATCAGTTTCTTGGAGTCCGGCAGGTGTTCCATAAGCGTTTTAAGTTTTGTGTAATTTGTCCAATCAAGATTTTGACAGAGTGCAGCATAGTTAGCAATACAGACTAATAGTGTCGCCGAAGAGTACACTTTGTTCCCAAATATGTCCATTCTTTTGCTGTCCTCCTCAGTTACAGAATTCTTATACTGAGGGGCCTTGGGCCTCTTTTGCACAGCATCTATAACCAAAGAATTGGTCTGGGGATGAATAAATAACAATTCCATCCCTTTCAATGGGACAAAGTATTTCTTGCCTACCCTTTTGTTTGTCGGCTTATTTGTTCTTGTGTTTGATCAACAGACTTTCAACATTAGAATTAAAACTTATGAGGCATTTGCCAAGGAACCAATAAAACCAAGGTCTCTGTAGGAAAAATTATGAACCTTTGTAACACTGTTTCATGTTGGAGCATGACATATTTTGTATCACCCTTTAACTCTTGATCTCGAAAATTAATATAATAGGACTGTAGAGAGCATGGTTTAGCAAAATATGCATGACTATAGTTCTACTTTTGCTCTCCTGCTCCCAACAATGTCAATGGGAGTTTCTCTGCAGGCTTTAAGTTGAAACAGGATTGGGCAGCAAGGGTCAAATTTTCATGATGGCTGCCAATGACAGAAATATCTGGCTTGTGCCATAGACATTAGGAATTCTGGGTTACAGATTTCAGAAACAGAAGCATAAAATTAAGCGGTACATCACCCCAAATCAGCTCCACTTGTGAACAAGCCCAAACGTAATCAATTTTCTAACTAATGGCAAATTTGATTCAGATTACATTCTGAAGAAAGAATAATGTTTTGATTTATCATGCCTTCTAGTCAATCACATTACTTAAAACAATTCACTATTTTGTAACAATCTTCTAAAATATAAAAATGCACCAGTAATTGAATTTGCCATGCAAAAGATTTCAATCTAAAGTACTGTTCATTGGAGATGTAAGACCAAAAAACTGTCACCTTGATAAATACCCATTTCCTCTTCAATGGTGTCAAAAGTAAACAAATGTTCAAGAACAAAATAAAATCATTATACCGGCATATGAAGAATTACATACAGAACCAAAACACATGTTTAGAGAAATCAGAGTCCCAATGAAGTTAATGACAAACATCCACTAAATTCACTGGCATCGGGATTTGACTCTTTAAAAACCCTATACAATAAACCAAGTCTTACTAGAAGGATTTCTAAACTCCTTTAGATATTCCACATTTGTTTGTTTGGGTTTTTTAAGTTAAGTGTTCATTGCTTTGATAAAAAATATTTTTGCTGAATCCTTAACTACTCTATCTTCATTAGCACTTTATACATTGCTTTATTTCTTCACCCCTGTACAATTATTCAGAGAGCTTCTATATTCCTTCCATACACTTACAGGTTGGCTAAAACAGATGCATTATTTTACACGATTTTTCTATCAGTGATCAGACTACTTGGATCAAAAACAAAAGAAAAACATGAACAGGACTTGATTGGACTTTCCTGTGAAATATTCATATTTTAAAGATTCTATAATAAAAAGTCATTTCAGGATCACTTTGAATATATGTGTAATAAGAAATATGCACTTCATGCAATACTATTATGCCAAAGAGCTTTCAGAACCTGAAAGATGGGTAACAATCGGTGATTTTAGTGAAATCTGGCAGGTGACAATGCACAGAATTCTAACCAGATTCAAGTTGTCTTGATAGATCATCATTATCTTCTTTTTCTATAGGCATGATACAAATTCCAGTGAAGCTTTCTGGACGTGGTCCTTTGATTTTTCCCTTCATTTTTTCCCCACCACAACCTATTCTAAAATATAATCCAATACTGATCTTTGAAAGCACTGTGAAAAAAATTACTTTCTAACAGAAGATAGAAGTAAAAGAAAAAAATATGTAAATGTTACTGGCTTAGCAGGGATTTGCAGTAGGGTACAGGTACCATAAGATATAGCCAACATGCCCAGCTCTTGATATACTCAGCTTTATTAGTGATTTGGGTTGAGTTACTAATTTTTTTATACAAATTCACGATTACTTATGAAATCTAAAAGTTGAAAAACCTAATTCCAGTTTGAAAGCCATTGTTCTTCTCTATACTGCTTCAATTAGTACAGTCTTACGCTGTATTTTTCAGATATAAATGTGATCTCTCTATTAGGGTCATTATAGTTATTGTAGTTAATTTCTTCTGCATAGGGTTGTATCTGTTGCAATAGTCTATAATACAAATAGCATTTGACAACAATGGTGGTAATTCTAAATGCATTACATGCCAGCCATATTGATCAACCAGATAAAAAAATGACATCCAGAAGAGTTACATACAGATTGTGACAGACAGAAACAGAATCAGAAAAATAATATTAACAGGAGTAAAATTACAGCTTTCATTTATATGTGCATGTGTGTGCACTATTATATATTATGTGTGTGTGCACTATATATGAAATGTTCTTTTTTTCCAAATCTTATTCCCCAGAGATAATTCACTATTTTCCAATTGTACATAGATAGAAACAGTACAAAATACTTAAAAAATGATAACGAAGCTATAACATGGGTCTCATTAATGCACAGTTCTCATTAATTCACTTTGTTTTCAAGAGATGTGAAGCTAGTTGGCAGATTTTAAGGAATAAAAAGAATTCCTACTTTATCTAATCTGAATATATTAACTGGCATAAGTGTATTTAGGTGAAAATCAATGCAATCTAAAGAGATTTCAATAACTTGGATACTTTGCATATTTTCATACAAATTTAGTCAAAAGAGAAAGGAGACTTAATAGCTCTTTGTACTTGTTCAAGGTAGGCTAATTTTAAGACAGAAAAAGCTCATTTTTAACTGATTAATGAATATCCATTGACAAGACTGATAGCCTACCATCAGACACATGAAACTATACATTAGGCATGTAAAATAATAGTAAAATACAAAAAGCTGTGCAACTTAAAGACTTTTGCATATTTGTCTAAAAATAATTATTTTGAATTTTGAAAGCCTGAAAGCAAAGTGAAATATATAATACTGGAAAACGGATTTCCATTTAAAGCTCATTGCTTTTGGTGTTCAATACTCAAACAAAAAAAGAAAATCTGTAACACTTTTTAAAGCTATAGATGCAAAATTTTAGTTTTTAGTACTGACGTTTCAGTATAATCTAAGAACATTTTTACATTGTATTTTCTAGTTATAAAAGCTCACCAATATTCTGTTTTGAAAGTACAAAAATTCATACAATACCTTTCCTCTCAGAACGTTTCTTACGCCTCCTTTTATAGCGACGTCTTACAATGCTTAAGAAGGTTCCCATATTCAAAGTCCCAGTTAGAAGAGATGCCATGCAGGCTAAGTGCTACAATCCACTGACAGTTCAGGTTGTCAGAGCACTAAATCTCACTCACTCTCAATAAGTCATTATTAATACAGTGATTATTTCACTAAGTCATGGTAGCAAGGATAACAGTTAACTCTGTTGACATGTCAGGACTACAAACTACAAACTGCAGGATTAACTGCACAGTACACTAAAGGCTGCAATTCATTCCTACTATCCGCAAGAGGCACATGTGACAATTAACCCTTAAATATTGTTTGGAAAATGAGAGCGCAGAAGATTTCCAGAGAGGGGACACCCAACACACACCAACTAGTTACAGTTTGTCTTCTTTTAGCATTATAAAATGTAGATACCCTGTATCACTGTTGCAGTAAAAGTGAACAATCATACAGAAGGTTCCAAGAGCAAGATTAACTCAGAGGATACCTCTTCCTTTATGGGGACAATATATTCGAGGTATAATGTGGCAAGAACAACAAAAACACTACATCATAAGCACAAACAATATATTAATATTCCTGCAAGAATCTTTATTTTGGCTTCTGCTGACTAATTTTAATAGTTCCAGCTTAATGAAGCATTAGTATAGATTTAGCTTTCAATTTTTTATATATATGCGCTTATATTTTACACAGGTAAATATGCAGTGAGAGAGAGAGAGAGTGTATTTATATAATGATAGCAGAAGGCCCAGCCCTAGCTCAGGACGGGGCAGCAAGAAAGCAGTCAAAACAACCTATACAACTGGGCTTCCTTACTCAGGAGGGTTGCAGGCAGCTCGCCGGCAAAGGTGGAGAGGGGGAGGCTACCACTGAAGCAGTGGGTGGCAGGGGGGGCACAGGCCCGTCCACTCCACCATGCCCCGGCCCAGGGCTTTAGAGGCAGCAGTTTACTGCTGCTTGATAAGCATGGGCTCTAGCCCAAAACACGCTGATCCGGGCATGTCTATGCCCATGATGTCCCCTGGGCTGCTTCCCTCCTCCCCCCTCAGCGCGTACCTGGCAGTCATGTAGGTCTCCCATGGAGTCACAGGGATACAGGTCCATTGGACACTCCTTAGGGGCTTGCAGGGTGTTTGGGAAGTCTGGGGAAGTCTGCTGTTGTTCCGGGCTGCTGGGCAGCACATAAGAATGTAAGAACGGCCGTACTGGGCCAGACCAAAGGTCCATTCAGCCCAGTAGCCTGTCTGCCCACAGTGGCCAGCACCAGGTGCCCCAGAGAGGGTGGACCAAAGACAATGATCAAGGGATTTGTCTCCTGCCATCCTTCTCCAGCCTCTGACAAACAGAGGTCAGGGACACCATTTCTATCCCCTGGCTAATAGCCTTTTATGGACCTAACCTCCATGAAATTATCTAACTTCTCTTTAAACTCTGTTATAGTGCTAGCCTTCACAGCCTCCTCTGGCAAGGAGTTCCACAGGTTGACTATGAGATGGTGACTGAGTTGGTGGTCTCACAGCAGGGGCCCTGGTGGTCCTCACTAGCTCACCACCTCCCCAGGCATTTGCTCTGCTCCGTGGGATGGAGAAGAGCCCTCTTGAGCACTTCTGTTTCTTCAGGCTGCTGTGTAGCAGGAGGCCTGGTAGCCCACGCCAGCTCTTCACCTCAGCATGCCTCAGCTCCCTTCCTCAAGGTATAGGGGAGCCCTCTGGCCTCTTCAGTGGTCTGTGCCTGGCAGGCAGGCTTTTTACCTCTCTGGCTCCGCCCCTTGGCTTCTAGCCAGGTGGCTCATTAGGGCCAGGTGTAGCCCACCAAGACTCTGGGAGGGGTGCTTCCCCTTTGGGGAGTTAGATGGTGGTCTCACTACCCTTGATTCTTGGATATCACAGAACTACCATGGTTTCTGCCAAGATCACTACCCTCTCTCTCAGGAGTCAGTGGTAAATGCCCACACAAATCTGTTCAATGTAACAGGCTGGAAATTGAGTAAAGTTACTTGATAGTAGAAGATATTCTCCTATGATATTAAATCTTTCTTGTTTAAGTACTGTCTGTATTAGCAGAAAGTGGCATACAAATAATAGACTCTCATTTGCTTTACAGTTGCACTAATTAGGGATTTAATTAGGGCTATCCGATAAGCATAAGTTTATTGGACAGCCAACTAGTGACGCGACTAGTCGCTTCCCCTCACTTGCTGCCTCTATCAGAGATAGCAAGGGGAAGAGGAGCAGGAGCCATTGGTCAGGGGAACTGGCTTAAGAGGGCAGGGGAGGCAGGGGAACAGCAGTAAAGGGCGCAAGTGGGGACTGACGCAGTCTCCGCTCACGCTGCTTCTGTTGCGATTCTGCTTTTGAAATGTACGACTGCCCCAGTGGGGTTCTTGTACATTTCAAAGGCTCAGGCACTGGTGAGCGGGCCAGTAAAGAAGATTTTATGCTCAGAAAGAGGGTGTTTGATTATAAAAACATCAGGGAAGGTTCAGTGCTTACTGTGTTGGAAAATAAATCTAGGGCTGAAGATCAAACAAGAAAATTAACTAGAAGCTAGAACACTGAATAGAAATTCATCCTCACTAAGTTTTCACAATGAAGATGAAAGTAGACAGAAGGAAGAAAAGATAAATATTGAAATCGGTGGGAAGATTAGCGGTATGAAATTATTGGATATTACTTACAGTCCCACTGAATGGTTTAATTTTGAGGCAGGTTGGGTTCAAATTTATATCCTGATAATTCTCAAAACCAATAATCACCTATTTTCTTAAGAGCTTCAGGCGGTAGCCGAGTTTGTTACAGAAAAAAAAACAACAAATAAAGTGCTACCAGACCATTTATTATTTTCTTAAATGAGGTATGGAATAACTAGATCAAAACAGAGAATTAGGTACAATGTCAAGATAAAATTGGAAACAAATGTAGCAAAAGGCTCTCACTTCATTTTACATTTGCCCTCCAACATAACTCCACAAATCAGTAAAAATGATAGTCTGTTTCACAGTCACTTGCAGGTTCAGTCACTATTAACTCGCGTCTACTCACTTCAGCCCACGTTAAACCAACTATGATAAAGGGAACACTGTCAAAGGGACCATTTTATTCCAATTTGTTCTATTCCTTTTGCACAACAGAATAAAGGGAAATTATTTCAAATGTTTCATTACACTACCTTCCTGTTATTCTAAATAGCCAGCCAGCTCAAATGACTCTAAATCTAAGCTGTGTTACTACACTAAATTAATACAATTGCTGAACATTGCAATAAGCCAAATACCATTTTCATTGTATAACAAATGTTTTCATGTCACTCATGTAGAATACCTAACAATACAGTAAAACACTGATTTAGTACACTAAATAATTGACTACAGACAAGTTTTGTTAAAATCCTGAAATATAGATGTAAAATCCAACAGCACCCTCTGCTGTTACAAACTATATTCCAGCTGTAATTCTCCACTGAGTGACAAAAGCACTAAAATAGTAATTTTTATTTTAAAAATGTCTTTAACATTTTATAGTAATAA